GGAGAGGTCTGCTGCGCCATGTGGATCTCCTCTGGAGCAGGCGGGAATCGAACTCATGTGGAAGTGGCTTAAGCTTCTTAGCGCTGTGCTTTAACCGTTGCACCACCAGGGAGGGCTGGGAAATTTTAATGTAGTAAAAAAATAAATGAAACAGTTGGCAGGTCCTGCTCAAGGCCATGCCGTCTTCTGTAGCATCAATTTTAGCAGTACTAAAGTAAGCACCCTATCATTTTTCTAAGATACACACACACAGCCAGTGAAGTGTTCAATATAAGACTAGGTATCACTGACCTTCCCGATAAGCTTAGGTTTCAAGCTTTCTGATTCCCTGATTTTATTTGATGACCTTGGGCAAATCATTCAAATCTTCAGCTTTGATTTCCTTATCTTTGGCTTTTTTTTTTTTTTTGAGTGGTGTGGGGGATTTGTTTAAATATACAGACATTCTTACATTGTAGAAATGATAGCGTATTTCCTGTCTTATAGGACTGTTAATTTGTTTTGTTTTGAGATAACATTGGCTCATAACAGGACATGTGGTTGCCTTATCTTAAATGTAGACAAATCCATTCCTTACCTATTCTGCAGTTGTAAGGATGTATCAATAGCTCAAGAAAAACAGATGATGTTTTTGAGCTCCCAAGAGATGAGTTGCTTTAATCCAGTCACTGGAAATCATCCTCTAGTCCTTTAGGAAGGGGCTGTCCACGCCCTGAGGTAACTGACTAACTGGATATATGGCACTGTCGCTGTGCAACTCAGCAGCGTTCTGTCTGACATGACCTTCTGGTATGGCAGGTGCAGTCCCAAGGTTCTAGCTATAGTCACCCTGTTTAATGAACTGGTCAGGAAGTAAAGTGTGAGGAAATGGGCAGCTATGTCTGTAAACACACTCAGATATGTGAAACATATAGGAATGTCTTGATCAAAATTGTTATACTCTGAATAATTTGGTGATTTGGTAGGAAGAAAGAACCACCACTTCTGTTTGGAAGAGAGTTTCTTTTAGAGTGTGTAGAAATGTTGGTTTTGTAAACATCATGTATTTCCCAGCTTCAAACAGAGGTCCAGTCTACATGAAAATGTTATAGATAAATGTTTCCATGGCACAGCCTTCTTAAGACTCAAGGTCAAGGGAAATGTGGTGGCTTCCAGAGAGAAAAGACCTGCGTTTCAGAGTCAACCGCAGCTGATGTGGCTTCTGGTGCAACTCTTGTCTGGACCGTGGTTTTTAACAGTGTAAAGAAGGACAATAATGCTGCCTTTCATCCAAGGGCCATATTGAAAATTAACTGCATTTTTCTTTTATAAAAAACATTTTTACTAGGAATTAGAGGACTGTCAGCACCTTAAATATTGACAAAATTAGGAAATGAATTTTAGCTCAGCCTCAGTTTATCCCTTTGCAGTGTAAGTCAGGAATTCTTTAAGGTGAATGAAACCACTTTATGTTATAACTTTCCCTCCTTATTCTCTCATACATCCTCTACTTTCTTCTCTGCTCTACTAATTCTCCTTTTCTGGCATGCTCCCTCATATTCTGAAAACTTTTCTGAGCTAATTCACTGCAGCATATGCCTCAAATAACCACAGCCAATATTTCTTAAAACAATAGGGACTACCTGTAATCTTTGTCCCTGCTCCATGACAAATATGTTTTAGTGTGAAAACTGCAAGCCGTTAGTTCTGAAGAAAATGCTCTGAACCACATACAGAGTTTTCGATTAAAAGTTTAACTATTCCGGGGCCCTCCCTGATGGCGCAGCGGGTTAAAGCACAGCACTGAGAATCTAAAGCCACTTCCGCATGAGTTCAATTCCCGCCTGCCCCGGAGGTGACCACATGGCGCTGCAGACCTCTCCTGACCCGCCCGCTGCTCCCCTCAGCAGTGTACTTCGTCGATCTGCCTGTTCTGCTCCCCATTCTGTCTCTAGTGAAGCCTCTCACCACTCCTGCACGTCTGGCTTGTACCCCAGTTCTGCATGAATAAATAAATAAATCTTTAAAAAAAAAGTTTAATTATTCCATGTCTGCGTGTTATCAGTGCAGTCTCATGTGACTTAACAGCAGGGTTATGTGCTGAGAAGTGCATCATTCGATGATTTTGTTGTGGGACCATCTGGGAGCATAGTCACACAAAGCCTAGACAGTGTTACCTACTGTGTCCGGGCCAGGTGGGGCAGCCCGTAGGGTCCCCTCCAACATCAGGCCGCAGTTGACTCAATGTCGTGAAGCAGAACATAAACCGTAGTAGCAATAATATTCTTGCTTTTCGTCGACCTTCCTAACTCTAATCTGAGGGCTGTGAATTAAACAGACAAAAGATTAGCAAGAGAAAATGTCTGTGATGTTTTACTTTTTCTAAGATAAAATTTGTATTACATTTTCTTGGATTTTATTGATCTGGTATTTTAAATTTTACATGCGTGGGTGAAGGGATCGCCAGAAAGTGGTGAAGATTGAAGAGGTGGCTAGACTAGGAGCTTATCCACTACTTTATCAAAGGGGCACAGATTTGGAGTTGGTACTAGACAAAGGAAGAGGGAGTTTTGCTCCCTAGGGGCAGGAAGCTGAGAGAAAGTGGCCAAGAAATCTTGGTAGGAAGGGTGGTTTCCTAGGGTGGATGCCGACTCTCCGGAGGTGTCCTCTCTGGTGATTAAGTCTTCCCTTCCTGGCATAAGTAAGCCGGGCACCTTTACAAATGGGAACCGTGTGCCCTACTTCTTGGCAGCAAGCCCCTCCCACATGGACTTTCCTCAATCGTCTCATGCTCAAAATAATCCTAAGTCAAAGTAGCATGTTTGGGGGTGGCCTGTTTGATCCCCTTTTAGTACAGTAGTTGCAAAGGCATTCTACCTTAATAAGACTATTTTATTTGATATAGACTATAACGAGACTATATTTAATAAGACTAAATAGCCAAGTGTAGTCACAGCTGAGGCAGGAACAGCCACATTTTGGGAATGTTGACGCTCTCAGCTGCCAGGGCTTCGAACCCAGCTAGCACCTCTTTGTTTAACACACCTTCTCCTGATTTGTTTAGTTTTCATGGCCAGCATGTGACTGTTCTGTTGATTTACAAAACAGACCAGCAGCTGGGTGCTTCTTGTAGAGGCTGAGGAGGGTTGAGGACCTTCCTCCTGCGGTCCATCACGAATGAGCCCATCACGAGGCCGAGCAGCTTCTGCAGGTTAATAAATATGGTTCTGTTCTTGTTGTTTCTGTCCAACAGCAGCGGCGTGCAGGGTCAAAGAAAGTCGGCCCCCCATGTCAGTGGTCTAGGATGGCCAGTGAAGCCACCAACATCCCAAGTCCTGTGGTGCGTCAGATTGACAAGCAGTTTCTGATTTGCAGTATATGCCTGGAACGGTACAAGAACCCCAAGGTTCTTCCCTGTCTGCATACTTTCTGCGAGAGGTAAGCTTTCTTTGTGCGTCAAGAAGACACGGTCCCCTACCACCTTCGAAAGGGTTCTTTCCAGTTCCCTGTGGGAAAGAGTGAATGTTTTATGTATCTGATAGGCATCTAGAAGCACAGTCACAAGTTGTCAATAAATTACTTTATTTGAGAAAGCCCTTCAGTAGCTACTGATTCATTTCTTTGGAAGATGAGACATTAAACATTTAAAGATACCAAAAAAAAACACTTTTAACTTTACCTTTGTTTTTGTGAGATGATTTTTGCTAACTATATCACCCTCCCAGAGGATCTTTGGTGAGTACCAGTTCTTAATGGTTTCAAGAAGACTAGAGAAGGTGGAAAATTAGGTGATTTATATTGGGACAGAATTAGGCTTTTAGTGGTGAACTTAATGTAGCAAAGCAGATGTTAACATATAATGAGGCATGCCTGACTTATGTAATGTTATAATGCAGTGTTACCACACTCAAACAATTTTGAAAATCTACTGTCTTCTCCCATATGATGCAGGTAAAATACCTGCATATCTGGTTCAGTTAAAAGGGAGGTAACTTAAAAGGACAAAATTTTCTTAACTATATTTCAGAATACACACCCTAATGGCACATTTCAAAATTATGATATTTCGAATGAAGGAAAACTATCTATCTATCTATCTATATAAATGTGTGTGTGACATAGCTATAAACTATCTGACTATGCAATTTGCTATATGTAATAACATTCCTTATTGAGCCTTCTTAGTGTTTTTTCCACTGAGTTAATCAGATGTATAAATATACCTTTATGTCCTTGTTCAACTTACACATAAGTAATTAAGCAGAAAAAGACTGTGATCATTTTATCTGTGGCCCAATTTAAGTATTTGCCTAGTAGGGCTATAAAGTCTTTTAAAAAATATAAATGTAGTAATTATGTTTCATTGTTTTTCATTAAATACATTTCCTGTTATTTTACACATTGTTAAAATGCTTTACTCTCTATTATAGAACAGGAAATTGCTTTTTCTAATTGCTTCAAGTCTATGCTAACTGCATTTTACCATCCAATCTAACTTGGATTTGTTATCTGATGCATTGTTCTTAAAGTTGATTTATTTGGAAGGTTCCAGTTGCAACAGAACAATCACATCTTGGTAGTGACAGCTGGAAAGAGAAGGTGGATTTGTTACTGACTGTGATGATTTTTTGTTGTTGGGCTCTGCTTTATTTTATGTTGTGGATTGTTGGTGTGTGTGTAGGATTTTTGTTTGTTTTTATTGTTGCACTTAGGGCATCCATATTTGTTACTTTACTTTAAACTTCACTGTAAGTACTTTATAACGAACAGCTTATAATTTGCATTCCAGAATGCCTCAATGGGTGTAGCTAAACCATGACCCCAGCTCACTGTCCATGTGCGAAGGGCTCACACAGTAGGGGCATTATTTGCCTTGCGGCACTTGCCAGCGCCCTGCGCTCCTCAGGCCCGGTAGAGGCCTCTCCGTCCGAGCTCCGCGGAGCTGTCCTGTCTCTAGCGCTCAGTGCCCAGCCTGTGTGCTTGGCTCTGGTTCTCTTGCTCCAGCGGGTGAGATGCAGCACTTCTGGGCTGCCGTGGGGCTCCCCCTTGTCTGCTGCGCCCCCCGCCCCCACCTCAGGTCTAGCCCAGTGCACTTCAATCTTCCATCCCATAATAGTGGCAGAGACTTTCCAGCTGCTACACACCCGCCTCTATGGAATGTTACACCTTAACCTAGTTTTAGCATCATGTGCAGACTTGAAATTAATGGCCTTTGAAGGTGCTGGTGACTTTCCATAGAGTGGGATGATTTTTGTTATGTAGAGGTGAAGCTTCGTGGCTGGCCTCACTGTCAGGAGACTCGGTCCTAGGACCTCTGACCTCCAACCTCCACCCCCTGTTGGCCGCATACCAGCTTATTGGCAAACACCTTCTCCCCGCCACTCTATGGCATCAGTGAGACTTGGGAGGGAAGTAAAACCAGACAGCTTAGGGCTGGTGGAAAAGCCAGTCTTTAAGCTAATCACTAGGGCTCATGTGAAATTAACTGGTGTCCACCCCGGAAGGGCAGAAGCAGCCACATACCAGAGGAATTTGCTAGACGTCCCAAGTATAAGTAAAATTGAATTAAGCTAAGGGGAGTTCGAAGGAAGAAATCATTTCAGCTATGTAGAGTGTGAGGGAGCAGGACACTCTGGAAGAGCCTAAATGAGCCCTGCGGTACCACTGTACAGGAGATGAGGGGTGAGACAGCAGAGAGCATGTGCGAGATCAGGACGGTGCACAGCCCACGGCCCGCATACGAGCCCTGCCCTTCACGGTCAGTGCAGTGAAGTCGGGCGAGGTGTTCCTCTTAGATAGCAGTCTTAAGTTTTGAGGTCACTCTGGTTGCAACATGAGAAGGGTCAGAGGGTACCGGTGGATGACAGTATACCAGACAGAAAACTGTTGCAGGAGGAAGGTGTGGCATTGAGAGGAAGAGAACTGGAGATGTGAGGCAGGCTGTGGGGCTCGACAGGCTTTGGTGAAGGACGCAGGAATTACATGCTGAGAATGACTCCTACTTTCTCATCCTCGATGAATGGGGGAGGGGCTGTGCCCTGAGCTAGGAAGAGGACACAGATTGGAGGAAGCTCGTGGGTTGGTCTTGGATGTTGAACTTCAGGACTGTGAGGCGTCTGAGAGGAGACGCCGGAAAGCAGTTGGTGTAGCGCCCTTGAGACTCAGGGTGGTGGTGGGGGAGAGTCGTCAACACGCGAGGACAGTGTGTCTACCACATGCATTGATGTCATCGCCCAAGGAGATGTGAGGGCTTTTCTGTGTCCCCCAGAAAAGAAGAAGGAGAACACGGTGAGGGTAGTGTCACAACCAAGGGGAAAGAAAGTTTCCCTAAAAGGCCGTGTGGGATGGCAGCGGCCCAGCATGTGCTAAGTCTCAGGAGGTAGGAGCGGACAGTGCTGGGTGTCCATGTCAGTAGAGACCTCAGCAAAAGCCATTTGGCTTCTGGGCTTGATTCGGCGCCATTTTTGTGACAGAGGGGAAGGCCTGTTGACTTCCAGCAGCCAGCTTCCTCGTGCGCAGAGAAGGGGGACCTGGCTAATTGGAGATCTGCAGAGCTCCTGCTGCACTTCTGGGATGCAGGGCAGCCGGCAGTTCTCCAGAGCTCACTTTCTGGGGCCCAATGTCTGGGTCTGAACCCCTGCTCCTCCTCTGCCCACTTTCCTGTAACGGGCAAGCAAGGTCGCCTGTACTCTGCATATGTCCGAAGCCGATCACAACAGCGCCCACTTCATAGGGTCACCAGGAGTCCTGGGAGTCGGCGTGCCCTGTGCACAGCAATTATTGGCCATACATCACCCCAACGAAAATCAGTCTGTGCAGGAGAGGAGTGGCAAAAAGAGATCACGTCGGTGTGACTCTGGTACCCCACCCCACTTCCAACAAAACTTTGCCAACTGGGGGATTAAAAAAGAAGCCTTTCTTGCCCAGCATTCTAAAAAGAAAATTCCATTTTGATGTATTTTTAGCATCTGAGATGTGCTTGCGGTTTGGTACACAAACCACATAAAATCACCAATTTTACATAAAATCGCCAATAATAAGGCTGGAAAGAGTAGCACAGGTGGCAAGGTCTGTGGGTCTCTTCGCAGCACCCGCGGGGTCCAGACAGCGATGATGGCGGCATGTGTGCACTGCCCCGTGTGGTCACTGGGCCCGACCGCCCCCAGAGCTCTGGGGTCCGACTGCCCTTCCCTGGCCACTCTCCTCGGGCGTGACCTGGACCCAAAGCCCCGCCAGCATCATGACCTTGTCCGTGACTCGCCGCAGCCGCCTGCCGATGGGTTGGCAGGGTCAGGCTGAGTTGCCATTGCCACTTGGTTTCTCAAATCTCATTTTCCGCGTAGCAGACTCTGAAGGGAGTCCTGCAAGAAGGCCTCGTGGTCCCAAAGAGCATGTCTGGGACCTTCTGGAAGTGGGGGTTCCTTGGCTGACCCCTGTGCTGACAGCCCTCCCTTTTTGTGCTCTGCCCAGGTGCTTGCAGAACTACATTCCCGCCCACAGTTTAACCCTGTCCTGCCCCGTGTGCCGCCAGACCTCCATCCTGCCCGAGAAGGGGGTGGCCGCGCTCCAGAACAACTTCTTCATCACGAACCTGATGGACGTGCTGCAGCGAACTCCTGGCAGCAACCTCGAGGAGTCCTCCATCCTGGAGACGGTCACCGCGGTGGCTGCCGGGAAGCCGCTCTCTTGCCCCAACCACGATGGGAATGTAAGTGAGCGCCGCCAAGGTGCCCCGCGGCTGCTTTGATTTGAGCAGGCCCTGGTTCTACTCAAAAAGTTACTGCACAGAGGCAGAAACCCTGGGAAACGAGGGTTAAAAAAGATGCTTACTTTCTCGGACCAAATTTATTTAAATAATGGCATCCTTCTTCATTGTGTCTGCTTAGCACATTTTGTTGGTTTCCCCAGGAGAGCAAAGCAGTGGCTGTTGCAAGCTGGGCATTCGGTGACCCACATAAACATCCGGGCAGTAAATTATAGATGAAGATTTAATAATAGATAAGTTCTGTAAATTGAGAAGGACCATTACAATGTTAATTAACTAGAGTTCTTTATTTTTCCTGGGAGGGAAATTTTTCTCATGCTCCGGGAGGCTCTAGTCTTTCCTTAATAGAATTAGAAGCTATTGAGAATAGATTATAGATTATGCATTCCAAACATTTCTTTGTACTGACAACATACTATCTACTATAAACGTAGAAGGGCCTGTGTGTTCCGCCAATAACTGACTCACAGCAGCTTATGTACCCCTAAGGGGCAGGCAGCACTGCCAAGCGGCGAAGGGGTTGGGCGGTCTGACTCTTGGGTTTGGGCTGAGGGTGAGCACTGTCAAGCTTACTGACTGCCTCACTTCCTTGTCTGTAAAATGGAAGAAATGCTAATATTTATCATATAGGATTATTGGGGTAATTAAATGCTAAGTCATATGAAGCATATGTCAAGCTCTCAGTGACTTAATAACTATGAAGATTATTTCTAGTGGTGACTTTATTCACTTTTTTCTTAATACGATTGATGGCCACTTCAGCGTTGAAACTCCTGCTGATGCAATGCCCACGTGCTGTAAACCACTAAGGCAAGCCACTGTGAGAGCCCCGCAGTTACAGCCATCACTGCTGCCCTCATTTCTTCAAGCTTGTCCTCTGCGGGCTGAGCCGCAGCTCCCACACCTGCAGCCCCAAGTAGTTTCCCACCTCGGGCTTGACCCTCTCCGGTTCCTTCTGCCTGACAGGTGCTTTTCTCACTCCTATGGGTCTAGCTCATCCTCACCCTACATGGCTCAGCTCAGCATGTCCTCCAGGGAGCATTCCTCTCCAGCGATAGCAGCTAAGGCTCCCCTCTGACACCCCAAAGTTACCTGCTGTCCCAACTCCATGATTTCCTTCATGCCCGCCACTCAGCCTGCTTTCTTCTCTTTTCTTTTTTTCTTTAAAGATTTATTTATTTATGCATACAGAACTGGGGTATAGGCCAGAGGCGCAGGGGTGGCGAGAGGATTCACCAGAGATAGATGGGGAACAGCACAGGTAGACTGACAAAGTACCCTGCTGAGGGGAGCAGCGGGCGGGTCAGGAGAGGGCTGCTGCGCCCTGTGGTCACCTCCGGGGCTGGGGATCGAACTAGCACTGAAGCGACTGTGCTTACAGTGCTGCACTTTAACCTTCTGCTCCACCAGAGAGGGCTTCTTCTGCGTGTTTCTTAATTTGTGGCTCTTCTTGCTATACTTTTAGAAAGCGAGCTCCCGGAGGATGGGATGTTCCCCACTTCTGCCCCCCCCTCCCCAGAACTAAGCACCGTATCTTATACATGAAAGTGTGGAAACGGAGACCAGCCAAATGGGAACAAACAAAAGCTTCGTGGTTAGGTTTGGTTTTTTTTAGCTCCCTCTAACAGGAAATCAGACGCCATTGGTGTTTTGGCAGAGACCCACAGGCAGGCAGTGGGAGCGCTTTCTAGTGGGCAAAGGGCAAAGCTCCAGATGGCCCTGCCGGGAGGTGCTGGCCGGAACGCTGGAAGCAGCCAGGAGAAACAGGAGACTTAGAAATCTTGAAAATAATAAAACAGTGGAGTCCATAAATAAACTCAGAAGTGGAATGTTTTCTTAAAAATTAAGAAAATAATCTGACATCAGATATAGCAGCAAAGGAGAAATATAAATTTATCAACTTAGGACAAATAAAGAGATCAGTATACATAAAAGGATTTCAAAATAAATTAAGTCATTTCTGTGTAGTAAAGGCTATAACTGAAAGTCTAAACAAATGGATAGTTATCTAGGAAGTTACAGATGATTAAGAAAACCTGACTAGGCTGTTAATCTTGAAATAAATTTGTCTAAGTTCATTTAAAACTGATCCTCCAAACCGCCTGCAAATAGATGTGATTTGTAGATTACAGAGTTCTGGGTCATAAGATAGAAAACTCTCAGTATATCTACGATACCTCATACCTAAGTCTAGTAAAGACACAACAAGAGAAAACTTGATCATTCAGTTTATGAACGTCACTGTAAATTTTTTAATTAAAATACCCCAGCAAATTCTTATGAGTATTTGCAAATTTTGAAAAATAAGAACATCAAAAGAAAAAATGGGCAAAGAACTCAGAAAATTCACAGGCATTATAAATAGCTGATAACCATAGGGGGAAAAAAATAAGCTTTACAAAATTTTCTTAAACTGTTCCAGTTTTTATTAAAAGGTAATAACAAGAGCTGATGAATATATGGGGAGACAGTTTCATGTGCTGTGTGTGAGGGTGTAAATTGCTCTTCAGAAACTTTATGTCAGTTTGGCAAAATATAATGAGTGTTATTTATGTGATGTCTTATCCTCTTAATCCAGTAATTATACTAAAAGAAATATTTCTAAGGAAATAGCTGGAGATGAGGATAGAGATTTGATACCAGAAGGTTAACTGAACTTTTTATATTGTAGTAAAAACTGGAAATAATTTGAAGGTGCAGTATTAAAGAACTGACTAGATTATGGCAGTAACTGATGATTGGGTGGCCATTAAAACTGATGTTTTTTAAAAACAGAAGATACTTGTGCCAATATATGTGTCTGTGCTTGTGTGTTTATGTAGAGAAAGTTGTGCTTGTTTTTTTCAGATTTACATATTTATGCATACAGGAACTGGGGTCCAGGTCAAAGGTGTGGGGGATGAGAGGACTCTCCTGAGACAGAGTGGGGAGCAGGACTGGCCAACTGATGAAGCACACTGCTGAGGGGAGCAGTGGGCGGGGCAAGAGAGGTCTGCATGCTATGTGGGTCACTTCCTGGCCGGGATCCAGCTCTTGCTAGAGTGGCTGTGGAGAGCTTCATAGTGCTGCCCCGCCGGGGAGGGCCCTGCTCTTGATTAGTAGAGCCACGGTTTACCTACTCTATGGGAAAAAGAAGGATAATTCTGTGTGGCAGGGACAAACTGGCAGGCAATACAGGAGCAGAGAGACTGGCATTCTCTGCATCAGCCCAGAGCTCTGGGAGCCAGGAGGAGAGGCTGACAGGCAGATGAGTTAACGGGTCAGGTCCTGGAGGGCACTGGATGCCCTTAAGGAAGTTGAGTCTCTCCTGTGTCATGGGATTTACTCAAGATTGTCAAGCATTGGTATGCCCCAGATCAATTTGCATTTAGTTCAAGCGCCTGGAGATGTGACAGGTGAGCGGTAGCTACACAGGGGATGAACCTGCGGCTGTGAGTCACCTGGGAGCTTGTGGAACAATACATGGAGGGTACCTGGCCCTGGGCAGCAGGAGCAAGACTGGAGGAGTGCGCTGTGTGAGGACTGATGGGCTGTGGGCGCTGACACGGAGAAGGCGGTTCCCAGCTCTGGCTTGGGTCCCTGAAATACCGACAGAGAGAGACGGTAGAGCTCTTGAAGTTACCTTTGTTACCTTTGTAGCACTGTCACTCTTGAAACTTTGGACAGGAGTCCACTGGAGTGTCTGAAGGACAAACAGAAAGAATTCCTAAATGTGTATTTCCCGAGTGCCCCAAGCAGTAGAGACAAAGTCTGAGCACTGACTTCCTCTTGGGCCATTCATTCTGAGTCCTTGAAATCGTAAAATGTATAAGCCAGCACAGGGGTGAAGAAAATTAGCAGCATGTGTCTTAAATGAGACTGGTGTTTCATCATCCATTGTAGGATTTCACTGCTGTCACTTGGAAGCGGGAGTCCTCATTGCAGATTCCCGCCAAATGCATACAACGTTACAGATAAATTGTGGCAGTAATTGCTATGGGTACGTCTTTAAAAAACAATTCAAGCATCTGAAGGTTAATAAAATCGGGTAATTAACAATAAGGCAGGATGTTGACATCATAAAGTGGTTGTTGCTGATGAGCACATGTGGATGAAACCCTGTCATTTACTTGAAGTGCCGTGACACTGTCTTCTAATTAAACTGCCATGGCTGCCTTGTCCAAAAGCAAAGAAAAATGGGGGAAATCGCCAGTGATTTAAGATGCTCTGTGCTGAAAGCAGACATATGAGCTCATGCCCTGCAGTCCCTGCTTGCAGAAGACATTACACCCTGAGACTGCTCGCGTAAGCACCTACTAACAAGGATGTTCAGAGTCATCGAGGAGAAATCCTCATTATAACTATCCCGCTTCTAGAAGCCTCAGGGTTGCCAGCGAAGCCCTGCGCATTGCATGTAAGTGATGTATGTGATCTCGCCACATTCTCGTCTAGTGAACATGGACGGGACTGCTGTTCTCAGCGGTACCTCACCTGCTCCTGACCACCTGTCCCTAGGAGCACAGCAGCATCTTGTTGAGATGTGCACGGAGCTGCACACCCAGTGAACGAGAAACGGTGAACTGCCAGCTGGAGTCAGAGCTGTCAGTGTCTGGGCACAGCCTTTGGGTGATTCTGCAGTCTCTGTGCCCCCAGAAACACTTAGGATCCTGAACCAGGGATAATCACTGAGGCCTGCTGCTCTCTCATCAAAGCGGCGATCAATTCTTTTTTTATAGGGCTAAAACTTACATAATGGGGCCCTCCCTGGTAGTACAGTAGATTAAAGCACAGCACTATGAAGCTGTCCACAGCCACTGCAGCACGAGTCCAACCAGGGAGCTGACCCACAGGGCGCAACAGACCTCTCCTGACCCACCCACTTCTCCCCTCAGCAGTGGATTTCAGTAGATCTGCCTGTGCTGCTCCCCTCTCTGTCTCTGGTGGATCCTCTCACCCCACCGCACCCCCACACCTCTGGCCTGTATCCCAGTTATTGTGTGCATAAATAAATAAAATTTTAAAATAAATAACACTCACATAATCTAAAATTTAACATTTTAACCATTTTAACATGTCCAATTCAGTATTTTGGACATATTCAGAAGTTTATCCGAACATCATCACTATCTAATTGCTGAATCCTTTTCTCATCCCCCAAAGAAACTCCATGCCGATTAAGCAGCTCCCCACAACCAGTCTGTTGTATGTCTCTGAATATGTCACTTGATATAAGCGGATCCTCATCCAATGTTGTGAGTGGGTTCATGGAAACTGTGGTTATAAGTGGAATGCCATGTGAGACCAGATCTTTGAATAAAGTCATTTCATTCAAGGTCAGCTGGGATTTTTTTTTTCCTCATCAACCTTACAAGGAAGTGACATTATTTCAGCCCCTGCTTTATGTGCTGCTGCTGGACTGAATGAATCCCAACTTGTGCTGAGTCATGGGGGACCAGTTCAGTATTTTCCTGTGTGATATTGGAATTTTTATTTGAGTGTATTTATTAAGCTACGTTCTTAATGGAATGTGTGGAGAAATGTTTTTGAGTAAAGGTGAATAAAAAGAGGAAACTTCTGGGGCCCTCTCTGGTGGTGCAGCAGGTTAAAGCACAGCACTAAGAAGCTAAAGCCATTTCCTCATGAGTTTGATTCCCGCCCCGGAGGTGACCCACATGGCTCGGCAGACCTCTCCTGACCCACCCACTGCTCCCCTCAGCAGTGTACTTTGTCAGTTGACCTGTTCTGCTCCCCACTCTGTCTCTGGTGAATCCTTTCACCACCCCTGTACCTCGACCTGTACCCCAGTTCTGTATGCATGAATAAATAAATCTTAAAAAAAAAAAAAGTTGAAACTTCTAATGGGTCATCTAAACATATTCCTAGAAGGTCTGCAGTGGGACAAAACATATGATATCAAATCTTTATCAGACAAAAATAAAAGTGTATTTCCAAACCCTTTTCTACTATCTGCCTATTTCAAATTATCAAATTTTAAATTTTCTTCGTGATAGCTTGAAGGACTTTTGTCTGATTTAGTTCACTGGAAAAGATTGCTTCCAAAATGCTAGCACCAAACTAAATACTTTATTTCTGGGCAAATCATCTTCAGAAAGTATTACATAAAATAGATATTCCTTATTAGGAAGGTGTTGTATTTGGGGAGTTGCCCAAACCATGGCTAAGAGTGTTCTCTCGTTTAACAGAGCAATGAATACCTACTATGTGCAAGAAATTACCTAGACTCTGAGAGAGTTCTGGTGTTCAGAAACCTGAAACAGAATTCTCCAGAGATGAATGACATGTGCTGTCACAGCAGACTGAAGGCTGAGGCGGATACAAGACGCCAGCCACCTTCTGTTAAGCCAGACACTGAAGAGATTGCAAAATGGAAACACCACCATCTCAGTTTTTTGCTTTGAGAAATAGTTATTTTCCATACATTTTCTTCCTGTTAACATCAAATGGGTGTACTACTGCTTTTAATAAATGATGAAATATTTTTAAATATGTTCAACTTCTCTTTTAGAATGATAAATGCCTATTGATTTAACTCACCTGAACACAAACACTTTAGAGTCCTCGATACTGTATAAAGTGTTTCAAGGAGCCTTGAGTCTACAGCCCCACGGGAGTGACCACAGAAAGCTGGTTTTGTAGCCATGGAGCAGCTGTGGGGTCCAGCTGCCAGCTTGAGAGTGGCACAACAAGGCGCAGCCTCCTTGACGTAAAAGGAGATCAGAGGCCCCACTCTGTACCGCGTGGTGCCTGTCCTCAATACCACACCCAGTGATACTGTTGTCAGTGTGAGTTGCTGTGGGTAGATCCTAAAAGTCCTCATCAGAAAACAATTTTGTGTGGTTATATGTGGGGATGGATGTTAACTGGACCTTGCAATACAGTTAAATCTCAAATCCTTATGTTGTCACCTGAAGCTAATGTTTTATATCAGTATGCCTCAAAAGTAAACAAGCGCTTTTCCTTCCTCTGCCGTGACATGGGATGCCACAGGACATGGGCTGTCACAGGACATCCCGGGGAGGCCACGAGAGAAAACAGCAGCGGCCTCCATCAGCAGCGCCCAGCCTGAGTGTGTTCCCATGTTCCCTGCAGGTGATGGACTTTTACTGCCAGTCCTGTGAGACGGCCATGTGTCGGGAGTGCACCGAGGGGGAGCACGCAGAGCACCCCACCGTCCCTCTCAAGGACGTGGTGGAGCAGCACAAGGCCTCGCTCCAGGTGCAGCTGGACGCCGTCAACAAAAGGTGTGCATACCTGCCCTGCTCCCACTGGCCTGGCCCTCCGCCTCAGTGGGTGTTTGGTCCATGCTCCCCTCTTTTCCCGGGGACTCTGAATAAATTCTGCACATGGCCTGTGGTTAGCCACTACTGATTGGGGAGGGTCATCCCCAGCCTTGGTAAAACCCCAAACGCCTCTTGTTCTGAGTGGCTTTTTGCAATAATACCCTGCGTCTACCCTGCGCATGACTAAATGAGTAAGAAACACGCTCTCAGGAGGCCACTGAAATCCGTGCCTGGTTCTTTTTCCCCGAGGAACCTCGCCCACAGGTCCTTGTGCCGGCTGTGACTGGCTCCTCTCTGAATCCTGCAAAATGGTACGCAGCTGCCAGGGCTCAAGCTCTCCTGGCGCTTCCCTGCTTCCAGGCCGTTTCTCTGGCTTGGAAATGAAGGAGCCCTGTAGTTGTGTGATGCCTGGGAGAGATCAAAGAGAGGAAATAAACAGCCAGCTGAAAATAAATCTTTTCACCATAGTTGCAGTGAGAAAAGTGTGGTTATTGTATACTAAGTAAAAGAACTTGGAAACTGGCAAGATGTTCCCAGGAAATTCTTGAATTCGGAGCCGTTTGTCAAGTGATGGAGTCAAAGATAAAGATAGAGCTTATATTTAGAGAGAGTCTCAGGCCTGGGTGACTTCCCCCAACCCCCAACATTTGCAATGTCCAGAGACATTTTTAGCATCACAACTGTGTGCAGGCAGGGGGTGGGAAAGGGGGTTGGGGGAGTGGTACCCCTGGCATCCAGTTGAGGTCAGGGTGCTGTTGAACATCCTGCAATACACAGGAAGGTCCAATGCAGCAAAAAATTATCCGGCCCCAAATATTAAAGCGTCAAGTAGGAAGAAGCCTGACTTAGAGAGCGAGGGAAAGCTGTTCGGGTCCAGAGAGCTTCAAAGCTTTGGACCATCAGTTATTAAAGTCAAGTGATTGAACTCGTTTGAAATATAGACACTCCAAGTCCCTTCTCTCAAAGGTAGTAATTATGCTTGATTCATGCTGCTCTTCAGGTATCTCTCAAGATGATGAAAGGCACAGAATATGTTTTTGGACAAAGTATAATGTTCAGACAGATTTTTTTAAACTATTTTTGGGTTATTGTTAAGTGATAATTTCTAACAACTGTCCTCCAGGCTCCCAGAAATAGATTCTGCTCTTCAGTTCATCTCAGAAATCATCCATCAGTTAACCAACCAGAAGGCCAGCATCGTGGATGACATCCATTCCACCTTCGATGAGCTCCAGAAGACTCTGAACGTGCGCAAGAGCGTGCTGCTGATGGAACTGGAGGTCAACTACGGCCTCAAACACAAAGTAAGATTCCAGAGCTCCTCGGAGCCTCCCCGGCCCTCACGCGCTGACTCACTAACTCAGCAGGGCAGAGTGGCCTCCAGAGGGTCCGTGAATGTCACTGTTGTACATTGAACAGTAGTTTTCATGGCACTGCGGGCTATTTTTTTCCTTTCTGTTTTTGGCCACATTCTGAGATTTTGTGACTTTAAGTACCAATTTATAATTTGACACAAAGCGAAGATGAATGTAAAGTACTGCTTTCAGGATTTAGGGTTAAGCTGGCTTGTTTGCCTTCCGTAATTATAATGTCTAATAATCTCTTAATTGCTCTCTCTCCCACACCAACCTGTTAGTCAACTTCAAAGCCAGCCCTGACTGCTGCCTTTGTTAACTTGCTTGGCCAATCACAGAGCCCGGGTGAGAAGCTTCCGATATCCAGCCGGGGAGAGTTGTTTGGTCTGGTTTCTGTTTCTTTCGGGGCTGACGGGGGAGCTTTGGCCTTGAGGGCGAGCGAGAACAAGGAATATTTCGGATGTCAGGCATAGTGATCTGTGTGCCAGGCTGTTGGTGGTGACGTTGCTGCTGCCCTAGTCAAAAACACATGACCCGCGAACTATGTGTGTGGGAGAGCCCGGGCGAGGCGGGTGGGACAGAGAAGGGCCTGCATGGGTTTCGGATTATGCATGAGAACCGGGTTCGCCGGGTTTAGCGAAACACCCCTTGCTTAGCGCCACCGCGCGCGCCGGTGCAGAAGCTGGTTTCCGCGCAGAGAGGGCGCTGGCCCGCGCGTCGCTGCACAGCGCGCTGCAGGGCTGCGCTGGGGCGCCGGGGAGCCCTCACCCGCCCGGGTCTCCCCGCAGGTCCTGCAGTCGCAGCTGGACACGCTGCTGGAGGGGCAGGAGAGCATCAAGAGCTGCAGCAACTTCACGGCGCAGGCCCTGAACCGTGGCACGGAGACCGAGGTGCTGCTGGTCAAGAAGCAGATGAGCGAGAAGCTGAACGAACTGGCGGACCAGGATTTCCCGCTGCACCCGCGAGAGAACGACCAGCTAGATTTCCTCGTGGAAACCGAAGGGCTCAAGAAGTCCATCCACAACCTCGGGACGATTTTAACCACCAACGCCGTCGCCTCTGAGACGGTGGCCACGGGCGAGGGGCTGCGGCAGACCATCATCGGGCAGCCCATGTCCGTCACCATCACCACCAAGGACAAGGACGGCGAGCTCTGCAAGACGGGCAACGCCTACCTCACCGCCGAGCTGAGCACGCCCGACGGCAGCGTGGCCGACGGAGAGATCCTGGACAACAAAAACGGGACCTACGAGTTTCTGTACACCGTGCGGAAGGAGGGGGACTTCACCCTGTCCCTGCGGCTGTACGACCAGCACATCCGAGGCAGCCCCTTCAAGCTGAAGGTGATCCGGTCCGCGGACGTGTCGCCCACCACGGAAGGCGTGAAGAGACGCGTGAAGTCCCCGGGGAGTGGGCATGTCAAGCAAAAGGCCGTGAAAAGACCCGCGAGCATGTACAGTACCGGAAAACGAAAGGAGAACCCCATCGAGGACGACCTGATCTTTCGAGTGGGTAAGAAGGAGGGGGCGCAGCTCCGGCTGGCGGCTCAAGGAAGGGGTCACTGGGAGGGTGTTGTGGCTTTGGCGGGTCTGAACTCGCACCTCGGGGCGACACTGGTGTGTTTTCTAGGCGAGCTTCTGCTGTCTCCTTCCCCGGGGACCTGACGATTTGTTTCCCCCTCGCCTCCTCCCTCCCTTCCCTCTTTCACCCTCTCTTCCCTCTCCCCCACCCCCTTAACGCTTAAGTGCCGCATATTCATTGTAGAGAGCTAGAACACAAGCAAAAAAAAGAGAAAGTAGCGTCTGTCACCTGGAAATGCTAAAGAAAACGCGGCCATCTCTCTGCCGGTGGCAATGCGTTTAGCATATTCTTGGCCTGGAACCCAGAGGCCAAGAGACGGCTCTGATAACCCGTTTCTCTGAAATCTGCCAGCCCTGGCTGTTCTGTGCCAGGGCAGAGTCTGATGCCCCCTGTCACTGCTGCTGCCTTGCAGGGCTTGGGGGTGGGGTCACCTCCAGTGGTGGACAGCAGCCCCCAAGAGGGGGGTATAGGCACCCCAAGAAGGGAACCATGGGGGCAGAAGCCAAGAGACAGCCCAGGCCTTCTTGCTGGAGCCTCTGATTGGTCTTAACTGTTTATTTTCTCAGTAGACCCCAAAGTAAACAGAACAATGATTTGATAATTCAGGTGGAGGGGGAGGTCTGCATTTCAATTGCTGTATCCTGAAGTAGCTCTTCCTCTTCAGCCCTCTCTGGCAGTGTTTCTACATGGAGTATTAACTGAAAGAATGCTGTGGTTCAAATAGATTGGGGAGACTTTAGCTTATGTGAAGGAAACACGTTTAAAAACAAAACTGCAGTACCGGTGGGGGGAGGGAAGCGCACTGGACTGTGGTGATGGCACACGGGTGATCTGGTGGTGGGAAGCCCACGCGGATGACAACTGAGATGGAAAAGGCACAACATGATGTAAAAATAAAAATAAACTCTTACATGATTTTTTTTTTAAAGCAATGTTAAAAAAACAAAACTGCGGACCCGAGCTCCTGCTGCTGGCATGGTGCTCTGGGGCAGGGAGGGCTAACAGGTAGCACTTCAGGTGCCTCTGACCCAAGAGCTTTCTCCAGGGAACATACTGGGACAGTGAGGCTCTCTGCGACAGTCTGGGGCCAAAGCTGCTCGTGTTCCTTAGAGCGCATCTCAGTAAAGGACGTGCTATGAGGCCTAACTTGTCGGGTCGGAGCCGGGAGCCCAGAGCCCTGGCGTGTTTCCCGGCCCTGCCTGCAGAGTTAGTGCCCGCCAAGGCGAGGCACATGAGCCGGGCGGGCGGCTGCGAGCTGGGAGCTGGCCAGGTCTGTGTCTCCAGTTCTGCCACTTATTTGCACCTCGGGCAGTCTCTTAGCTTCCCAGGACTTCAGTTTCCATGCCCAGATATAAAAATATCTGCCTCTCAAGTCTTAGTTCTAAGTCCCAAGCAAAATACATGACCTGTATGAAGAGCTAAGTCAGATCGCTTGCTTTTTCACATGCAATGAGGGCTGTTAGATTTTCGCGAAGACTTTTCCTTTTCAAAAAATTTACCTCGCTGCCCCCCACTGTGGTTGTATTAGGTACAAACTCAGTTTTGAATTCACAGCCCCCCCCAGCCTCAAGACAAGTAGCCACAGTCTCTCCTGGTTGCGCAGGTTGGAGAAGGACTCAAGACCTGGTGCCCCAGAGATAGTGATTTTGAGGTCCGGGTTCCCACTCTTCTGCCCGCTGAGAAAGTCAGTCTTAATGATTCACTGGCCCTGATGGGAGGTATCTGAGTATGGAAACATTCGTAAGAAGCTTTAAACAGGGCGTGGCACAGACAGCTCACAGACAGTTCCACCACCACATGGTGTTTACTAATGAGGTAAAGGTGCTGGCTTGCTTTGCAAGCTGCTACCACAAAACACCTTGGGAGGCTTAAACAGCAGGAATGGATTTCCTCCCAGCTCTGGAGACTGGAAGTCCAGTCAAGGCCATGGCAGCTGGGTTCCCCTGACGTCTCTCTCCTGCGCGTGTGGATGGTGCTTTCAGGCTATTTGGTCCTCATGTGCTATCTTGGACCTTCCGTGTCTTCCCCTCCCCTTAGGGACACCAGTCATGTGGGACTAGGGCTTCAGCTCATTTTAACTCAAAAGCCTCTTTAAAGACCTTCTCTCCAAATACAGCTACAATATGAGGTCTTGGAGGTTGATACTTCAACATATAATTTAGGGGTACACAGTTTTGCCCATAGCCGATGTACAGGAACAGAAAGAAGAGCAAGCACCACCTGTCTGTTCCTCTTTAACTTTCTGTGCTCATCCATTATCTAGCCACAAGATACTGCTCACTGTGCACTAACACAGCTCAGAAAACACTTCCAGAGCATCATGCCTGTCCCACTGTGCTAAGAGATGGGAATGTAAAGACAAAAGAAGGCCAATCTCCCCACACCCCCAAGGAGCTTGCAGTTTGGGGGGGGATAGATGTTTGACTAGTGATATTGGTCAGTGACTCGAATACCAGTGCAAGGCAGTAGAAACGAGATGGAGTAAAAACCAGGACGTTAACGATAATGACTTATGCAAGATGATGAGTTGCGGCGGATTCCCAGGCAGAGGGAACAAGGTGAAGACAAAAGGCCAGGTGCAGAAGAGTGAACCACGTGCTTAATGTTGCAGGGGGGCACGTCCTCTGAGAAGATGCAGGGTGAGCAAGGCCAGGGGACTGGGAGGGGAAGAGCGCAATGGGGGGTGGCCGGACTGGACAGGTGGCCTGGGAGCCTCTGCCTGGGTGCCCTCCATGCTTACCTACTTGGCACCTCTGGCCATGAATTGTTTCCCCACTTTCATCCTTCTCACAGTACCACCTTCTAGAATCTGTCATGATTATTAGAATAATACATATGGGTCTTATGACGCATAATTCTGTAAATTTCACAAGGTCAAGGATGCTGTCTTTACTTGATTATATCCCCAGTGATATTCAAGAAGAAAACTGTGCATGTGGACTTTGTCTGTTGGAGTAGGATTAAATTCTCACTTACTGCTTGGTTCATCTTCCTTGTCATGACTATCGGATCCTAGTTTTGGGCTCAGGTGCACACAGATTAGGGAATAAAGCCTGGGCTCTTGGTACCATGGTGTTGGGGCCTGTGTATCACCTGCACGGTCCTGTGCTTGGCAACATCAGACAAGCATGTGACCTTGTCTTCTCAGTGTCTGTTATAAATGATTAGAGCTTCTGTTAGTACTTGTAATATAATAGTTTATTTTTACATCATTTTGTGCCTTTTTCTATCTCAGTTGTCATCCCCGTGGGCTTCCCATCACCAGATCACCCATATGCCATCACCATAGTCCAGTGCACTTCCCCTCCCCCCACTGTTTTTCATCCCATTCTCCACTCCACCCCCGTAAAATGTCTCTGGTATATAGTTGGCCATTCTTCTTCTTATTATTATTTTCTCCCTTGGTCCCTAGTATTATTTTATACTCCTGCTATGAGCGAAACCATCTGGTATTTTTCCTTTTCTTTCTGGCTTATCTCACAAAGCATGATCCCTTCCAGCTCCATCCATGTTGCTGCAAAAGGCATGTGTTTATCTTTTTTGATAGCTGAGTAATATTCCATTGTGTATATGTACCACATCTTTTTAATCCAGTCATCTACTTTTGGGCCTCTGGGTTGATTCCATGTCTGAGTCCAGGCTTTTTTTTTTTATAGCCATTCCTTTGTTTCAGCACCTTAAGCTTCTCTGTGTGGTGAGGCTGCATGAGCTTGCTATGGGAACAGTTCTGTTGAGCCTGCTGCACGTGAGCAAGAATTCATTCAGATTCAGCTACACGGAACATGGCAGTTTTGCCCCTGCTCTTTAGCAGGACCCTCCCACCAAGCTTCCTGACTCCATGCTTCAAGCTATCCTGCATTCACAGAACGCATATTGGGGTTCATTCAACAGCCCAAAATAGAGTGCTAATTTTGTATATTTGTGAAAGTTAGTCATTGCTCTCTAGATGATGTAAAGGATTTTCAGGGAAAATTTTACTGCGGTTCTTACTATCCTCGGTGATTATCCAGCACTCAGGTTCAATGGGACTCTGTTGTTTGGGCACTGTCTGTATGTCAGACACTTGGCTAGGTCTTGGATAAGTGGGAGATGAAACAGACTAACCCGGGGGAGGCCAAGTTTGGAAGGGGACAGACATGAAAATTTTGGTAACTTCAGTATGGGTTCGCTCAGAAGCTGAGCAGGGCACAGCTGGCAGGTGGAAGGGAGGGAAGGAAGGTTCCTAGAGATAATATCTGGACCTTTGGAAGAGAAAGAGAATGTTGGGTAGAAGGAGGAAAAGGATATTTTTAGATGAAGCAGAAGTAGATGTAAAGGCAAGAAGCCAAATAGTTGAAGAGACCGATGGGGGCCCTTTGGGCTACCCCACACAATCTGGGCATGGAGACCATCTTGGTTTGTGTAATTACATTTTGCGCTGTTTGCATAATAAAATCCCTTAACTAGGGGCCTCCCTGGTGATATAGCGCAAACAAGCTATCACCAGCCACTGAGACGTGAGTTTGATCCTCCACCAGGGAACTAACCTATAAAGTGCAGCAGACCTCTCCTGTCCAGCCTGCTGCTCCCTTCAGCAGTGTATCTCAGTGAATCCACTTGTTCCGCATCCCACTCTGTCTCTGGTGAATTCTCTCACCACCCACACTTCTAGCCTACACCCCAGTTCTTGAATGCATAAATAAATCTTAAATAAAACCCCCTAACGACACATTTCACAGACTGTACCCCCATTACGTGACACATTAGTCACTTAAAGTACATGTACTCACCAGTACTAGCAACTTTCAGCTGCTGCTGTTTCCACATTGCCCGTAATATGTGTGGCTGGCTCTCCACCTCCTCCAACTCCTTGTTCAGTATTTTCCTGATTAGGAGCTTGAAATCAGCCCGGGTGGGAACATTTACACCCGGGTGGGCCTTTGAGATGGCACAAAGTTCTACTTCAGCTAAAATTGAGCTATTTGTGGTTTTTCAAAGTTGAGATAGCTAATACCGCCCCCGCCTGAACACGCCACGCTGTGCCGCAGCGAATGAGTTTTGTGTTACTCTGACGCTGTATTGGGACACAGCCCGCGTGAGTTTGGGGAGTAGCTCAAAGCATCTGTTGACAATAATTTCTTGAAACATGGATGTTGTTTTTCCCAGAACTATGTTGTCAGCTACTAAAGAAAGTCATTGAACAAACGGGAAGCCAGAAGATGTGGGAGGGAGTGAAGAATTACAGCTGAATTGTTTCATATTATGTAATTCATACCTCACACCTCACACCTTAATGAGCCCACGAGAAGTCTTGAATGGAACACTTATGTTCTAGAACAGTGTGTTTTCTTTGATAAAGTGGATGTGTGAAATCCCTTAGCGTGAGTTCACAGGCTATGCAGAAACTATATTGTTTTATACCCCATGCTCCTGCCTCACCTCTGTCAGCCACCACCTTCCCTCCCAGAATCTCAGAGAGGGAGATCCCTTAACTTTGGCATCTGAGGTCATTCTAGGAACCTGCCTCGCCCCTGGACCACCTCGTTCCTGGGAACTCTTCTTGCATTTTATTTTATGTTTTTTAAGATTGATTTATTTATGCATATAAGAACTGGGGTACAGGCCAAAGGTGTGGAGGGTTAGAGGGTTCACCAGAGACAGAATAGGGAGTAGAGGGCAGGTCAGGAGAGGTCTGCTGTGCCATGTAGGTCACTTCTCTGGCACAGCTGTAGTCGCTGTGGACGACCGCCCATTTAACCTGTTCGCCACCAGGGAGGGCCTCTTCTTGCATTTTAAGTGGAAACAGATTCTGCTCAAATCTGTTGAGTCCTAGGCACTGGGCAGTGGCACTGAATCTAATGGGGAGCAGGACAGAGCCTGCACCTGCCCCCAGGGCCCCAGGTCAGTGAGGGAGACTATTACACAGTAGAGTAACACGAGACAAGGGATGGAGTGCTCTGAAAAGTTTCTGGAGAAAACATGATCTGCATGAGCCCCAGGGAATTTGGGTCACCTCAGAAGCGTGGTATTCTCAGTCTAATTAGAAAGAAATGTGTGTGTGATAGAAAATACCCGGTATGCAAAGAACCAGCTTGTTCCTCTCTGTCTCTCTACCATCTTTGCAATGTGGAAGCTTCCGTGTCCTAGCTATAAGCTGGAATGATAATACTCATCCTGCCGACTCATGAGGTGCTATCAGGGGTGACAGGAGAGGTGACCCCGCAGAAGGGGTACTAAGCAGCTCCTAGTGATTTTGTGCATATTACTTCATTTTCCCACAACGTAATGTGGATTGTCAGTTACTTAGTCATTAATCATTCACTCGGGTATTCACTCAGCAAACACTGGTAAGATCCCATGTTAGGTGCCATATTTGACTCCATTTCACCCCCTTGCAATGTGCCATTCTGAGTCTCCAGATACGTTTAATTTTCCTGTTGGGTCAGGCTGGGGGTGGGAGGATGTTTGTAGTCGTTAATCCCTTACTTCAGTCCAGGGGTGACTTTATTCTTGGGTCATCTGAGAGGGAGGCACAGGTAGAAGAGCATCCTTGAGAAGCTGTTGGCTTCAGCATGCTTTGATGCATCCTAGACTAATTTAACAGCTGGGAAAATCAAGTAATTACCTATGGAACTGTTGCTAAATTGTTTATAATGCCTTTTAAAGCCTGGGCCTCCCTGGCAGTGCAGGGGTTAAGTCTCAGCCCTATCAAACTATCAGCAGCCACTCCAGCACCAGTTTGTTCCCCACCCAGGCCAGGGAGGTGACCCACTTGGCGCGGCAGACCTCTCGTGACCCGGCCCGCTGCTCCCCTCAGCAGTGTGTTTCAGTACGTCCGCCTGCTCTGGAGAATCCTCTCAACCTCTGCCTGCCCCCTCACTGCCACACCTCTGGCCTGTACCCCAGTTTGTAGGCATAAATACATGCATCATTTTAACAAATAAATATACAGTGGCCCATGCAGATCTTTTAAAGATATACAAGCAAAACTGCATGTGTGTGTGTATCCCATGTATTAGCAAACGTGCATAATCGTGGCCAGCTGCTCTACCTCCACCCAGGAATTTACATGTAGGGCAACGGAGAGTGGAAACCGGGCCATCACATCACCCTGGAGCTCGAGGAGGTGTGGAGCCTCCTTGCAGCTGAGCACCCCCTTTCCAGGGCAGGCCCTGAGCCTCTCCCACTGGCTTCACTCACTCCTGGCGGCGTCTGCCCTTGGTAAGGGCATTGATGTCTTCAGGTTGGAAGATCATGCCCCCTAAATCAATTGCTTTTCACTTCCACTGACTCGCTACTGTTTCATCCCGCAAAGGGAAAAAAAAATCCAGCATCAGTAGTTTCTGTGGTGATTCCCTCCTCCTGCAGCACCTCTGTATTTTCGGGTGGACAGATCTCTGGCCCCCAAGGCACCCCGGCTTCACAAAGCGCTCTTCTCCCCATTGCCTCCTCCCCTCAAACACCAGTGCTGCTACCCACAGAGGCTTCTCTGAACTGATGAGACTCTGTCCTTAGCAAGGCTGGAGGTTAGATCAAAGCAAGCCGCGGGCAGGCCCCTACCTAGGCCAGAAGGGCAGCCACGGGCTTTCAGAGCAGCTTTGAGCTGCTCCACTCGGCTGTTTCTCATTCCTCTCCCTGTCTTAGTATAGCTCCCCTCCAGTGTGCCTCTAGCCCACAGATGCACACCCCATTTTACATCAGCAAAGATCCGGAACAGCTGGGCTTGCTTCTATTTTTTTCTGCCCCAAACTCAGTTGTGGGCTCTTGCTACTTTAGCACAGTCTTTAGTTGGTCCTCAGTTTCTTATCTTGCTATCTTCTCTGGCCTTGTTTATCAGATGTTTTCCATAAATTAAGGTTTCCTCTTGAGAGACCCTGGCCTTACCCACATCACCTTTTAAAAAGAATTAATAAGGGCCCTTTCTAGTGGCACAGCTGGTTAAAGTGCAGCACTATGAAGCTATCCTCAGCCACTGCAGCATGAGTTCAATCCCAAGCGAGGGAACTGACCACATGGCGCGGGAGACCTCTCCTGGCCCACCCGCTGCTCCCCGCAGCAGTGTGTTTCAGTAGATCTCCCTGTTCTGCTCCCCACTCTGTCTCTGGTGACTCCTCTCATCCCCTGCCCTCTGACCCGTACCCCAGTTCTTTTATGCATAAATAAATCTTTTTTTAAAGAAGAATTATAAACTGAACATTTTAGAATTCTTTCTTTTGCCAATCCTTCCGTTGTGCTGTGCCTTTTCACTGACTGTTACTCAGACATCTGTGGGAGAACCAAAGGCCAACTGCATTCCTTCCTCCCCTGAGGCTACCCACCCCTTCCCCGGCCTCTGGCCAGCAGATGCCAAGGCTCCATCCAGCCGCAAACCTGCTTCAGGGATTTGTGTGGATCAAGTACAAAAATGTCATCTCTTTTGCACTTAAAATAAAATAGAACTATTTCCTCCACAGAGGAGGAAATCCAGTATCTACTACTTTTAGAACATAGTGCCCTGGTAACTGCTTTGTTAAGCCAGTGCAAGCCAAACACCCAGGTTTCTTCTAAGAGATGGGGTTTTGGCAACACTCTGAAGTAAGGCCATCTCCTAGTGCATATCCTTGATTAGAATATTAGTTTATTTTGTGATGTCTGGTGCACACTAAGTATATTTTAATTATCTTAATATGCAGCTTTGATTTAGTAAGACAAGTTTGACATTTGCCTAAGAAGGTGACTTTGCAAAGACTGGAAGAACCCGAATTCTCCTCTAATTAGCATTGTAAAACAGTGCACTCTCAACTGGGGTGGGGGGGG